CCGGGAGCCTCGGGGCAGACCCGCCCATCACACTGACAGGAGTCAAAGGCCCAGGTCTGACCCCTCGTCCCGCCAGCGGAGGCCACCCCGCTGCCGTGGAGACACGGGGCCCCATCAGAGGCGCCACGAAATGGGGCGTGGAGGTTCTCGGGTCCCCAGGACAGAAACGGAGAGGAAGCTCCAGGGAATTTTATTAAGATTGTGCTCCACATGAGGGGGGCAGCAGAGGGCAGGGAGGCCTCCCGCCCGGCTCCGGGGCTGGCTCTTCGGACAAGCCTGACCGCGGGTGCAGGGGGACAGCGGTGTTCACGGCGTCCAACCACGTCCTCCCTGGCTCCCGGCCCTCGGTGCTTCTCCGTGCCCAGGCCCTGCACTGCCTCGGGATTCAGAAATGACTTAGCATCAGAGTCAGCTGGCGCTCAGGCGTCCTGGTTCACAGCCCGCATAGCCAAATCCTTTTCCGTGATAAACAGCATCACCGTTTCCCAATGAATTATTTTTCTTTTAATATACAGTTCAGAGAGGCAGAGAAAGGGAAGGAGGGATAGAAACATCAATGATGAGAGAGAATCACTGACCCGCTGCCTCCCCCCCCCCCCCCCCCCGTCCCCGGCACTGGAGATCAAGCCCACAACCCAGGCATGTGCTGTTGGCTGCAACCGAACCTGTGACCCCTCAGTCCGCAGGCCAGCGTTCTATCCACTGAGCAACACCAGCCAGGGCTTCCCGAATGAATGTGACCCTGCTTCCTGAGCTGAGGGGTGATCTCGGGGTCCGCCTTACACCCCGTGGCGTGGTGGGGCCTGGAGTCCCGCCGTGTCCCAGTGGGAGTGGGAAAGGGGGAGAGATGAAGGGGGCACTGCCTTCAGGACCTTCAGGCCCACAGGCGGAGGGGTGGGGGTGCGCTCACAGAGAAGCAGCCTGATGGAAGGAGCGGTGCGAGTGCTGGGGAGCTCAGAGGGGTTGCAAGCGAGCCCCCACCCCGGGGGGGGAGGGAAGACAGCCGCTCACACCGCTGACGGTCAGGCCGGTCCCTTCCAGAGCGGGAGAAAGGAGGAAGTGATGGGAAAGCAAACAGACCTTCACCGGAGAAGCAGGACCCGGTGGAAATGGGGAGCAGGCACTTCAGGGAGAGGGGAGAGCGAAGAGAGGAAGGCAGGAGGAGGTGCAGGGTATGCCGTGTGCTCAGGGAAGCCGGGAGGCCTGTCCGGCTCAGTGGATAGCGTCGGCCTGTAGACTGAAGGGTCCCGGGTTCGGTGGATCCCTACTCGGGGGCGTGCAGGAGGCAGCTGATCATCACTAAAGTTTCTATCTCCCTCTCCCTACCTCTCTGAAATCAATAAAAAATTATTTTTGAAAAAGAGAGAAGCCTAGGACAGTGGTCGGCAAACTCATTAGTCCACAGAGCCAAGTATCCACAGGACAACGATTGAAATCTCTTTTGAGAGCCAAATTTTTTAAACTTAAACTATATAGGCAGGTACATTGTTATTCACTTAATTAGGGCCCTCCTAAGCTGGCCTTTGCTAAAAACTCAAGGGCCCAAAGAGCCGCAGTTTGCCGACCACTGGCCCAGGAGGTCTGCTGAGACTGGATGGAGGAAGGGGGTGAGGTGCAGAGGGAGGCTGGGGGCTTTGGACAGGGAAGGGAACTGGGGCTGGCCAGTGAGGGCCTGGGAGGACCGAGTCTTTGGCTCAAACTCGTGGGAGACTTACAAACAAGCACAGAGGGGCACTGCTGTGTGGTGCCACACACAGCGCTGGGCGCCCGGGATGGGGTGGGCGGCTGCCAGGACGAGCCGGAAACGGGAGCGGAACGGCTCGGTTCCAGAAGGATCTGGGCGAAGAGGATGGTCTGAGAGGTGGTCCTGGCCCAGGATATCCCTGAGGCCGAAGGGGTCCTCTTCCGAGTCTCCCATCTGCAGAAGGCTGGCATCGCACACGAGCTCAGGCCGGACGGAGCTCAGAGGAGCAGATCTTGGGAGAAGGAAGGAGCACCCCGTCAGAGGGCCTGGGGTTCGGGAGGGCCGTGTCAGGAGCCAGCTGGTGAACCGGCGAGGCGGGGAGGAAGCTGTGCCTACGGCTGGAGGAGATCCCCGAGGTGCCATGACAACATGGATGCCCCGACATGCAAAGAGCCCAGGCCCCAGGGGAAGGCCCACACCTGCGTTTCCCAAACTGTTCCACGCAGACACGGGCACCCCACGCAGATTCTTGCTGGTGTGTGTGGGTGGGGAGGTGACGCTGAGCTGCAATCAGGGCAGACTTCCTGGCGGAGGCAGTGCCCAGACGGGGAGGCTGGCGGGGTGAAGGGCGTGCTGCTCGTGGGCCGAGGGAGGAGCGTGCAGGGACTAGTGAACCGGTTTGCCTGGGAGGGCGGAGGCAGGGATTGCACACGACGGGCCGGTTAGGCAGGTAAATAGGTCGGCAGGTCTGGATTAAGGGGGAATCCTAAAGGGACCCGGCCCAGTGTGAGGTGCCACCCCTTAAAGCTACGCCGACATTTGCATTTTGTCAGAATAGAGTGGGCATTCTACGGGGTGACTTGGTTTTTAATTTTAAAACGTGTTATACTATTTATTGTTGGGAGCCAACAGCCTTGCAATGCCTCAGGGCTCCAAGACTGATGATTGGGTCTGGGGTTGAGACTCAGAGGAGTCAGGTGGGGGTGGGTGGTGGAGGCTGTTAAAGATGGTTACAGACTCGGGTCTTCCCCTCTCCCTTGATTATAAAAGTGATGAATATGCATTGTCGATCGCAGATAAGTATAAAGAAAATAAATATAAGCCCTAATTCTGCCACCCACAGGTAATCGTTTGTGAATGTTTTGGTGTTTATTTCCTATGTCACCCAATTAGGGCCATACCATGTGCACTGATCGTAACACCCATTTTTCTTTTTTCCTTAAAAAAAAAAATATATATATATATATATATATATATATATATATATTTATATATATATTTTTTAATATATATATTATTTATATATAAAAATAATATATATTATTTATTAATATATATTATTTGTTATATAATAATATATATTATTATTTGATATATATATTATTTATATATATAATATATATTTTTAATATATATATATTATTGGTTTTTTACAGAGAGGAAGGAAGAGGGCTAGAAAAATTAGTGAGAGAAACATCAACCAGCTGCCTCCTGCACACCCCCTACCGAGGATGTGCCCTCAACCAATGTACATGCCCTTGACCGGAATCGAACCTGAGACCCTTTAGTCTGCAGACCAACGCTCTCTATCCACTGAGCCAAAGCAGTTTTGGCTTAGCAACCCTTTTCCTTCTCACTTTACATTGTAAACATTTCCACCTGGGTAAGACATTCTCCGAGAATGATTTGTAATGGCTGCGCTTCATTGTATGTATGTGACCTATCTGAACATTCCCTGACACATCTGTAAGTGGCCAGCCCTTTGTCTGATAGCCATTGGCGTGACCAACAACTGCATGCAGGCTTTTCTGGCAGCTTTTTATTTTTATTATTTTTTAAAATATATTTTTATTAATGTCAGAGAGAGAGAGAGAGAGAGAGAAACAACAGTGATGCCTTCTACTGGGGCATGTGCCCTGACAGGGAAACCCTGACCTGCGGGTTCGTAGGTCGATGCTCAACCCTCAACCATTGAGCCACACTGGCCAGGCACTGGCAGCTCTTTTTAGAAGCACAATTCCCTGGAAAAGGAGATTACTGGGTCAGACATATGAATCTTTAAAAGGTTCTTGCTCTTACATTACCAAGTGGCTTTCAGAGGATGACGTCAATGTTTATGCCCCCAGCAGTGTATGTGCGTGTCCCAGCTCCTAACTCCGCTGGCCTGCGTTAGGACTTTCCCCTAACCTCTGTGACTCAGTGGGTGAAGTGCTCCCTCCCGGTCCTCTTATAGCTGTGTGGATTCTGTGTGAGGTGAGTTTCTCCCCCAGGTTTACAGAGGCCTTTTTTGTTTGTTTGTTTGTGTGTCCAGCGTGGGAGGAGTAGGCAGGGGTCAGCGGAGGTGACAGCAGATGCAGGTAGACGAGGGAGGGTTCAGGGTCCAGCCTGCAGCCTGCAGAGAGACGGGGGAGGCAGAGTTTGGGAAGGAATCTGGCTGTGGGAGTGGTGAGAACTGGGAGGAGCTGGACAAACAGCATTAGTACGACTGGGTGTGGGGGGCAAAGGGCTCCCACAAGGTGGAGAAAAGGGGAAAAGACTGATGGCCTCGAATACACTTAATCATATGCTCAGTGACGTCCTGGGGACATGCCCCCCGCAAGGCTGCTTCAGGCAGGACTCTGGGCCGCTTGGGAGTGAGGGTGCTGGTTGGAAGGGGGGCGAGGCGAGTGTCTGCAGTCCCCCAAACAGCCCACGTCTACTTCTCTGAGGGCTGCTAAGGCGAGTCAACCCGTGGGAGTGTTCCCAGGGCACCAGCGCTACGGCCAAGGCCATAACACAGACATTGACGGCGGGCGGTGGCCGCGGGCCGGCCCTGGGCTGAGCGCTCGGATGAGCTCACCAGCCTCCCCACCAGCCGGCGGCGCGGGAAGCCGGGCCTCTCACACCGCATTTTACGGACGAAAATAGCCCGGCCCCGCGGAGGGACTGTCCCGGAGGCGGCCGGGAAGTGGGCGTTGGAGTCCGGAACTGAACCCCGGCATTCCAGCCGCGGAACCGAGCAGCTCGTAACCCACAAATATAGCAGCAAACGTGGGCCGGGGAGCCAGCCCGCAGGGCACGCCCTGCCCGCCTCCGCCGGCCAGGAGGAACCCGACACCCCGGGCGGGAATGCGGGGGCAGGGCTCCTGCTGACAGTGAGCCCGGGCCGCAGGGACAGCCGCCGTTCCCGGTCCCCGGGTGTTGCCGGGGTATTGCGATTGCCCCAGCCCGTCCCCGGCGGGCAGGCCGGCGGATGCGGGCCGCGGCCCACGTGGTGCTGGGAAGAGGGCCGGGGGCGGGGCCTGGGCCGCGGGGCGGGGCCTGGGCCGCGGGGGCGGGGCCTGGGCCGCGGGGACTCGCGGGCAGGTTTCGGTGGGGTCGCACCTGTTGCGTAACCCCCTCCCCCAGTCCCGCCGCGGGGGGCCGCCCCCCGGACGCCCGGAGGGAGCGCGGAGCAGCCCAGGCGAGTCCCGCCCGGCTCGGCCGGGAGCACGTGGCCCGCCCGCGGCGCCGGGGTCTCCCGGGGTCTCCCGGGCGGTGCAGCGGCCCAGGCCTGCGGGGCCCGCCCCCTGCCTGCGGGCAATTCGGAAAGACCAGCCCCCCCCCCCCCCAACATCTCAGTGCGGGACGGGGGTCCCCGGAGCGGCTTGGCCGGGGTCTGGGCTCCAGCCGCCGCCCCCTCCCTCGCGGCCCGGGCTCGCGGCTGTGCAGACCCCGGCGGGCGGGCGGCCTCCGGGTCCGCCCCGGGCCCGGCAGCATGGCCTCAGGTGAGTGCGGGTGTCTGTGTTTGGGGGGCGGGGTGTCTCTGGGACGGAGCCCAGCAGGGGCCAGGGCGCTGCGAGGACGGGGGTCTCAGCAGCCTGCGGACCCGGGGAGGCGGGCAGCGCCTCGGAGCGGGGTGCGGGGGTCGGGGGTGGGGGGGGCGCCCTGGATCGCAGAGACGGAGGGAAATCGAGGGGAGACACCGCGGCTCTTCTCCCCAGACCCCCGGGAAGCAACCCCCGTCCCCGTCCCCCCTCCCCCGTCCCCCTGCCCCCGGGAGGCAGCTCGGCCGGGCCGTGGAATTTCCCCAGGACCGGCCCCTCCCCGCCCCTTCCTCCCGGAGCTGGCGGGCCTGGGCTGGGGTTCGGGGGGCGGAGAGAAGGGAAACCCGGCGGGGACTCTGCCCCGGAGCCCCGTGTGCGCCGCGCGGCCCGGGTCCTGTTTGTTGTGTTTCTCCCCGGGCGGGCGGGCGGGCGGCACCCGCTGCTGGACTTTGAGTCCTGGCCCCGCAGCCCGGGCCGCGGACGAGGCTCCGGGGAGCGCTGGCGGCGCGCGGGGCCGGCCCTTCGCGGCCGTGTTCTCACCTCCGCCCCCCGGGCCGGCGCTCCGGGGAGGAGGGGGAGGGAGGAGGGAGGAGGGAGGAGAGAGGAGGGGGGAGAGAGGAGGGGGGAGAGAGGAGGGGGGAGAGGAGGGATCCGGCGGGATAGCGGCCCCTCCGGGAGGGAGGTTGCCTAGACAACCCCAGCCATCGTGGCCGGGGCCTCTTCCGCCGGCGCGGCCTGGCTTCCTGCATCAGTCACTCCGCCGGGGGCGGGGCGGAGGAAGGGGTTGGATGTGGCAGAGGCTGGCCCAGCTGCTGCGGCGCCGGCTCCCCCGCCATCGCCGCGGCCAGAGCCATGGCATCCTATCCATCCGGGCCTGGCAAGCCCAAGGCCAGGTATCCCTTTAAGAAGCGGGCCGGCCCGCAGGCCGCCTCCGCAGGGCCAGGTGAGTGTGTGCATCCTGGCGTAACGGGGAGTGGGTGTGGGTGTGGGTGCTGGTGTGGGTGCAGCGGGAGGTGTATTTGCACACGTGTCCGCATGCGGATGTGCTGGGACTGTTTGCATGTGGCCTGTGTGAGCCAGAGGGGGGTGTGGACTGGCCACGCTGCTGGTGGCTGGGCCTTGGCCAGGCGGGCTCAGGCTGTGTTCCTGAGGCTCGGCCCTCTCCCCAGGACCCCAGATCTCAGCCCCTCTTCCCCCGGAGACTGGGGAGGGGGGGGGTTGGCATTAGGGCACGCACATTGCTGCCGGGAGTCCCAGGGCTGGGGCTCCCCCGTACGGATTGTGTGTCGTGTGCTCGTTCCTGGTCCATCGTCTTGTGAGCTTCCCCGGAAGCGGGGGGCGCCCTCCGGCGGGGCCGCGGGGGGCTCAGGCTGCGCTCCCGCACCCTTAGGTGCGGCTCCCGCTCCGGGCGGCAGCTCTGCACCATTCGGAGCGGGCAGCGGGGCGGCCGTGCCAGCGCCCCCGGGCTCGGCTGCCTGGGCTGTGCCTCCTGAGGGATGCCGGCCTGCGCGTGGCTGTCCCCAGGCCTTGTGGCTGAGGAGAGAGCACCCCCACTTTGTGACCAGGCCAAGCCAGTCCTCCCCACCCCACCTTCCCCGGCAGCTGTCTGTCCCTGCAGCCTGGCCATCCGCCCTCCGTGTTTCCTTAGACACGGAGGGTGCTGCACGGTTTGTGCTGCCCTGAGCGTCTCTGTCCTCTGTGCCCAGGTCTCTGGGGTCCGGAGGGCGAGGTCTCTGTTCCTGGGGGTGGTCACATGCAGGGCGAGCAGCCTGCGACACCTTTCCGCCCACGGAGGCGGCAGTCCTCGCCGTGAGGGAGGGCCTCCTGGCGAAGGGGGTGGAGCTGGTGGCGTGGCTGGCTTTGGGTGACCCCGGCCCAGGAGAGGGTGTGTGGCGTGGGGTGCTGTGGCCCAGATGCCGGGAGAAGGGACCTGCCCGCGGCTGGGTCTTCCGGGCCGGGCCTCGGGGCGTGTGGAGGTCACTGTCTGTCTGTCTGTCCGTCACTCCGGTGGGCCCCGGGCCCTGTGGGTGGCCTGGCAGGAACGGGGCCCGGTTCCCCGCCGTGTGTCTGAGGAGGCCTGGGCCACGCGCTCGGAGAGGAGGGGGCCTGGGGCCTGGGGCTCAGCGTCTGCTGACCCCTCTCAGACCACCCCCGGGCCCGCGGTTGGCCTCCTGGAGGGCTTAGAAGGGGGGAGCGGTGTGAGCTCAGAGGCTGTGGACAAGCAAGGAGACCTTAGGCTCTGTGTTAGGTCCTGGGGGCGGGACAGGTGCCTGTCTTCCCTCCTCTCCCTGCTCTGCCCTCTTCCAAGCTAGAGATAGCGTCTCTCCCCCTCTCCCCTCCTCCTCCCATCTCCACCCCTGGCAAGTGTGTCCCCTGCTGTCATTACCTGCCCAGGTGCCTTGGCCTGTGCTGGGCCCAGGAGCGCCCTCCCTCCCGGTGGGTGGGTCTGCGTGTGGGACGCGTGTGGAGGGTCCCAGGAGCTCCTAATCGCAGACCCGGAGGCAGCGTATCTCTGGGAGCCTACGGCAGCCGTGGCCAGACAGGACTCCACACGCTTATCACCCTGTTGTAGACGGGACTCCAAGCCCGAGGGAGGTGGAGACGGGTGAAGAGGTGCGAACAGCGTCTCACGTCCTCCAAGTCCTAATCCGCCTTCTTCCAAACCCCTCTCCAGCCTGGGCAGGCTTGGCACAGGGGCTGGAGGTCTCGGAGGCCCGCTGGGCACCGGGAGGCGAGGCGATGTTCCTGCCTTTCCTCCCCGGCAGCTGCTCCTTCCCAGGCTTGGCCTGTCTCCCCAGGGACCCCGGGGCTGGCCCAGGGGACGTGTTAGGGAAACGGCCACTGGGCGGAGGAGGCCTGTGTGGCCGTGAAGGCTGCTTGCCCCCTTTCTTTGCCCCCTCCCCCCTTTGGAGCAGCCAGGTCCTACCCATCCCTGTACCCCAGGGCAGTGCAGGGTGTTAAGGAGGCTTGGCCCCTCCCTCCAGCCTCTCCTGCCCCTCGGGGGCCCCCTCTGGGCTGGCCCTGTGAAGGCCCTGTTTAGTTCTAGGGTTCCTCTTGGCCCCAAACTTTGATGAAGCTCCTTCCCTTGGTTCCCGGGCTCCCCCGAGCTCCCCCAGCCCCTGCTCACCGGCATCCCAGGGTCTCCCCTGCCCGCAGCTGCACTTGGTACAGCCCGGCCGGCCCGGAGCCGTCCTGGGGGACTGGCTGCAGCTCCACTCGGCAAACAGGCCGGCCAGGGGCACAGGGCTGCCGGCCCCTCCGCAGACAGGCCGGCGCGGGGCGCAGGCTGCTGCCTGCTTGGCCTGAGCGCGGCAGGTAGGACCCCGGCGGGCAGAGGGGGCTGGGGGCCGGTCCTGGGGCTGGGGCAGCCCTGAGGCAGGCGCCTCCTCTTCCCTTTGTCCATCCCGGGACGCTGGGGCATCGGGGAGGGGCCTCTGAGAGCACCTGGGCAGAGCCACCGAGGGGGCGGGGGAGGGCACGCTGGAGAGGGGCACCCTGAGCTGGGAGAGCGGGGGTGTGAAGAGCTTCCTGCTGGGGGGGTGCTGGGAGCCCAGGAGGGTGGTCTGGGGGGGCTGGGAGCCCGGGCAGCCCCTCTGGACCAGCGGCTCCAGGCCTTCCCTGTCAGCCTCCTAGTGGTGCCGCGGAGTTCTGCCTGGGGACCCTGCTCTCTGGCTCCCCCTTCCCCGGCCCTTCCCGGGCCTCAGCCCCGATCCCGGCCTCTGAGTGGCGCACACTGTGGTGGCAGCTCCCTTAGAGGGGCAGCCAGCAGTGGGAGGGTCAGGCTGGGCCAGGCCTTGTCTTGGCAGCTCTGAGGTCCTGGGGGGGAGGGCAGGCCCCCGGGGAGGCCTGCAGGTTCCCACCGCCACCAGGCCCTCCCGCCCGCACCTCCTCTTCCCTGCGGGCTGGTCCCAGGTGGGAGCCAAGTGGCTTCTGGGCTCTGAGGTCCGGGACGGGGTGTGGGCCCTGTCTTCTTCGCGGATGTCCCTTCCAGAGGCGGGTCTGATCCCGACCTCGGCCTGGGGGCTGCGGGATCGCTGGTGCTGGCCCCGGTCCTCCTGCGCTGCTGGGCGTGTGTGTGCACGTGTGCACACGTGTGAGGGTGTGCGTGTGTGCAGACACACTTGTGCCTGTCTGTAGGAGGTACTGTCATGGCCTGAGGAAGGGGTCCCTAGTCTAGGACTGGATTCTGATTCCGGGAGTGAACGAATCACGTGGTCCAGGGGCAGACTTGGGGCCCCCACCCCCACGCCTGGAGTGGGAGAGGGGTCCCTGTGCTCGACCGGAGGTGAGGCTCTGTGGGTGCCTCGCGCAGGCTCCCCGCTCCTCGGCCTCTGGCGCTGGCCTCTCTGGGGCTGGCCGGGACAGGCAGAGGCCCAGGGCTTCCAGGGCACCCCGGTGCTGCCTGCGCCCTTTGACCCCTGTGTCCTGTCTCCACAGAGGCTCGGGGTGGGCTGGGGGCCCCTCCACTGCAGTCTGCCCGGTCCCTGCCAGGCCCCGCCCCCTGCCTCAAGCACTTCCCGCTGGACCTGCGCACGTCTATGGATGGAAAATGCAAGGAGATAGCCGAGGTATGGCCTGGCACCTCCCCTGGCCCCCTCACCTCCTCTCAGACTTTGCAATGGAGGCCCCAGGCCGAGGCCAGGCCTCGCTGACCGTCCTTCCCGCCGCCAGGAGCTGTTCAGCCGCTCCCTGGCTGAGAGCGAGCTCCGCAGCGCCCCCTACGAGTTCCCGGAGGAGAGCCCCATCGAGCAGCTGGAGGAGCGGAGGCAGCGCCTGGAGCGGCAGATCAGCCAGGATGTCAAGTGAGCCCAGCCAGCCCTGCGGGCAGGCAGCCTGGGGGGGGGGCGGGGAGAGGCACAGCCAGGCAGCTGTGTGTGCGCGCGCGCGCGTGTGTGTGTGTGTGTGTGTGTGTGTGTGTGTGTGTGTGTGTGTTTGGGGGAGCATGCTTTCTGGGATGCGGCCATCTCGTCCCTCTCCCACTCCATCCCCGTTTGGGGCCCCCGGGAGGCAGCACAGGGCAGTGGGGTGAAGGGCGGGCCGTGGGGTCAGGCTGCCGGGTGCTGGCCTGCCTCCCGCCATCAGCGTGGCCTGGAGCTCGGTGCTCACCCTCCGGGTGGGTGTCTGGGTGAGTGTCTGGGTGGGTGAGCAGCAGGTGTGGCAGTGACGGCACACGCACAGCACCCGACTGAGGGCAGGGGCCTGGGAGCCAGAGCCGTCCGTCCCTCGTCATCCTCACCCCTCCCCTCCAGGCTGGAGCCAGACATCCTGCTTCGGGCCAAGCAAGATTTCCTGAAGACGGACAGCGAGTCGGACCTCCAGTGAGGAGGGCGGAGGGCGGGCACCCCGGGGCGCGGGCTGGGCCTGTCCCCCCACTGCCGACTCCAACCCAGTCTGCACCTCCCGCAGGCTCTACAAGGAGCAGGCCGAGGGCCAGGGCGACTGGGGCCTGCGGGAGCGAGACGCGGTGCCGGAGCGGGAGTTCCAGCGCGTCTCCATCTCCGGGGAGGAGAAGTGCGGGGTGAGCGGGCAGGGCTGCGGCCTGAGGAGCTGGGGGTGAGGCCGGGGAGGAGAAGTGTGGGTGAGCGAGCAGGGCCGGGGCCGGGGCGCCCCATCTGAGGAGCTGGGGGTGAGGCCGGGGAGGGTGCTTCTCTCTGCGGAAGCTGCAGGGGCGGGAGGCGTGGGAGGAGCCGGAAGGGCTGAGCGTTTCTGAGGTCCAGGCCTCCGGGCAGGTGGGAGGGAGGCTGGCCTGGGTCCGAGCCGGAGGGCGGTGACCGCCCGTCCCCGTCGGCAGGTGCCCTTCACTGACCTGCTGGACGCGGCCAAGAGCGTGGTGCGGGCGCTCTTCATCCGGGAGAAGTACATGGCGCTGGCGCTGCAGAGCTTCTGTCCCACCACCCGCCGGCACCTGCAGCAGCTGGCGGAGAAGCCGCTGGAGACGCGGGCCTACGAACCGGGCCCCGACACCCCCGTATCCGCCGGTGGGACCCCCAGCCCTGCCCGGGGCCCTGCTGTCCCCAGCTCCCCAAGCGCAGAGCCCAGGAACCCCTGCCCGCCTGCCTTCCCACACCCCGTCCCACACCCAGCCTCCTGCCAGCCTCCGGGGCCGGGGTGGAGACAGGAGGGGGAGGATCCATCCTGCCGGGGCCTTGCCATCTCTCCCCTCTGCGGGCCTCTGTGCTGGGGGGGGTGTGGTGGCCCTGACTCTATCCCCCTCCCCCCAGATGCCCCGGTGCACCCCCCGGCGCTGGAGCAGCACCCATATGAGCACTGTGAGCCGAGCACCATGCCCGGGGACCTGGGCCTGGGCCTGCGCATGGTGCGGGGCGTGGTGCACGTCTACACCCGCAGGGACCCTGACGAGCAGTAAGTGGGGGTGTGCTGGGGAAAGGGGGGGGGCGCTGCATTGGCTGGGGGGTCGGCAGGGCCCGCTTGGCTCGCTCTCCTCACCCAAGCCCTCCCCCCACCCCCCGCCAGGTGCTCGGAGGTGGAGCTGCCGTACCCGGACCTGCAGGAGTTCGTGGCCGATGTCAACGTGTTGATGGCCCTGATCATCAATGGCCCCATGTGAGCCCTGAGGCCCCCCGAGCCCGGCTCTGCCGCCCCAGCCCTGCGCAGATACCCGTCCCAGTCCCCTTCAGGGTCACCCAGTTCCAGTCCCCCGCCCCCCATGTGCTGCCCCCTCCCCGGTGCCTCCCGCGGGCCCTGAGCCGCCCCCTTCCCCCCCTCTGCCCCCCGCACTCTGCAGAAAGTCCTTCTGCTACCGCCGGCTGCAGTACCTCAGCTCCAAGTTCCAGATGCACGTGCTGCTCAACGAGATGAAGGAGCTGGCCGCCCAGAAGAAGGTGCCGCACCGCGATTTCTACAACATCCGGAAGGTGGGTGCCCACCGGCCGGCCGCTCTGCCCTGCCTGCTGCCCCACCCCGCCCCCGGGCCCTCGCCCTCCCTCCCGCCCTCCAGACCAGCAGCCCGTCCCCGCCCCCCCAGGTGGACACGCACATCCACGCCTCGTCCTGCATGAACCAGAAGCACCTCCTACGCTTCATCAAGCGGGCCATGAAGCGGCACCTGGAGGAGATCGTGCACGTGGAGCAGGGCCGCGAGCAGACGCTGCGCGAGGTCTTCCAGAGCATGAACCTCACCGCCTACGACCTGAGCGTGGACACCCTGGACATGCACGCAGTGCGTCCCGGGGCGGGCGGGGGCCGGGCCGGCGTGCAGCCGGGAGCCGGCGGTGACCTGCCCGACTCCCCCAGGACAGGAACACCTTCCATCGCTTTGACAAGTTCAACGCCAAATACAACCCCATCGGGGAGTCTGTCCTCCGAGAGATCTTCATCAAGACGGACAACAGGGTTTCTGGGAAGTACTTCGCTCACATCATCAAGGTGAGGTGCTCGGTGGCCGGGGCCCGGGGCTTCTGCGGTGGGGGAGGTGGGGGCGGTCGGGCTTGAGGAGGCCGCAGTGAGCACGCGTGGCGGTGGGTGAGGCGGGGGCGGCAGGAAGCCCGGGCGTGACCGCTGCCCCCCGCGTGTTTCCAGGAGGTGATGGCGGACCTGGAGGAGAGCAAGTACCAGAACGCGGAGCTGCGGCTCTCCATCTACGGCCGCTCGCGGGACGAGTGGGACAAGCTGGCGCGCTGGGCCGTCTCGCACCGCGTGCACTCGCCCAACGTGCGCTGGCTGGTGCAGGTGCCCCGGCTCTTGTGAGTGTCCGGGGCGCGGGCGGGGGGACGGGGCGGAGATCCGGGGGCGAGGGCTGCCTCCCGGGATGGCGGCGGCCTCCTGTCCCCGCTGAGCCCTCTCCGTAGAAGGAGGCCCCTCCTGCGTCCCCACACGGTCTGCCCGGCCCGGCCCCCTCCCCCGCACAGTCCCCTTGTGCTTCTGTGGTCTTCCCCGCTGCTGGCTCTCCCCCTGACCTGCCTGCCCGCGCCCTGTGCCCCCGCCCGCAGTGACGTGTACCGCACCAAGGGCCAGCTGGCCAACTTCCAGGAGATGCTGGAGAACATCTTCCTGCCACTGTTTGAGGCCACCGTGCACCCCGCCAGCCACCCCGAGCTGCACCTCTTCCTGGAGCACGTGAGGGGGCACGGCAGGGTGCTGGGGGGCCGGCCTGCCCGGGCCCGGGGGGCGCGGGCCTGACCGCGGGGTCCCCCACCAGGTGGACGGCTTCGACAGCGTGGACGACGAGTCCAAGCCCGAGAACCACGTCTTCAACCTGGAGAGCCCGCTGCCCGAGGCCTGGGTGGAGGAGGACAACCCGCCCTACGCCTACTACCTGTACTACACCTTCGCCAACATGGCCACGCTGAACCACCTGCGCAGGTGCGTCCGCGGCCTCCCGCCCCCGCCCGGCCCCCCAACACTGACCACCGCTGGCCCCGGTGGACCTGCGGCCGCCTCCCTGCCCTCGGGCTCCGGGCTCTCACCGGGTCGTGGGAATGTACCCCTCGTCCCGGGCCTGTGGTGTCCCGGCCCGAGGTGTCCCGCAGTGTCCCCGGCCCACAGTGTCCCCGCAGTGCCCCGGCCCGCAGTGCCTCAGCCTTCAGTGCCCCGCAGTGTCCCCGGCCCGCGGTGTCCCATCCCCCAGTGTCCGGCCCGCAGTGCCCCGTCCCGCGGTGTCCCATCCCCCAGTGTCCCGGCCCGCAGTGCCCCGGCCCGCAGCGTCCCGGCCCGCAGTGTCCCGCCCGCAGTGTCCCGGCCCGCAGTGCCCCGGCCCGCAGTGCCCCGGCCCGCAGTGTCCCGGCCCGCAGTGCCCCGGCCCGCAGTGTCCCGGCCCGCAGTGCCCCGGCCCGCAGTGCCCCGCAGTGCCCCGGCCCGCAGTGCCCTGCAGTGTCCGGTCCGCAGTGCCCCGGCCCGCAGTGCCCCGGCCCGCAGTGCCCCGGTCCGCAGTGTCCCGGCCCGCCGTGTCCCGGCCCGCAGTGTCCCGGCCCGCAGTGTCCCGGCCCGCAGTGTCCGGCCCGCAGTGCCCCGCAGTGTCCCGGCCCGCAGTGTCCCGGCCCGCAGTGTCCCGGCCCGCAGTGTCCCGGCCCGCAGTGTCCGGCCCGCAGTGCCCCGCAGTGTCCCGGCCCGCAGTGTGTCCGGCCCGCCGTGTGTCCGGCCCGCAGTGTCCCGCCCCGCAGTGTCCGGCCCGCAGTGCCCCGCAGTGTCCCGGCCCGCAGTGTCCGGCCCGCAGTGCCCCCGGCCCGCAGTGTCCGGCCCGCAGTGTCCCCGGCCCGCAGTGTCCCGGCCCGCAGTGTCCCCGGCCCGCAGTGTCCCGGCCCGCAGTGCCCCGGCCCGCAGTGCCCCGGCCCGCAGTGTCCCGGCCCGCAGTGTCCCCGGCCCGCAGTGTCCCCGGCCCGCAGTGTCCCGGCCCGCAGTGTCCCGGCCCGCAGTGTCCCCGGCCCGCAGTGTCCCCGGCCCGCAGTGTCCCGCCCCGCAGTGTCCTGGCCCGCAGTGCCCCGGCCCGCAGTGCCCCGCAGTGTCCCGGCCCGCAGTGCCCCGCAGTGTCCCGGCCCGCAGTGTGTCCGGCCCGCAGTGTGTCCGGCCCGCAGTGTCCCGCCCCGCAGTGTCCGGCCCGCAGTGCCCCGCAGTGTCCCGGCCCGCAGTGTCCGGCCCGCAGTGCCCCGGCCCGCAGTGTCCCGGCCCGCAGTGTCCCCGGCCCGCAGTGCCCCGGCCCGCAGTGCCCCGGCCCGCAGTGTCCCGGCCCACAGTGTCCGGCCCGCAGTGTCCCCGGCCCGCAGTGTCCGGCCCGCAGTGCCCCGGCCCGCAGTGCCCCGCAGTGTCCGGCCCGCAGTGCCCCGGCCCGCGGTGTCCCCGGCCCGCAGTGCCCCGGCCCGCAGTGTCCCCGCAGTGCCCTGGCCCGCAGTGTCCCGGCCCGCAGTGCCCCGCAGTGTCCCCGGCCCGCAGTGTCCGGCCCGCAGTGCCCCGGCCCGCAGTGTCCCGGCCTGCAGTGTCGGCCGGAGCAGGGAGCCGGAGCTGACTCTGTCTCGCCCCCAGGCAGAGGGGCTTCCACACGTTCGTGCTGCGGCCGCACTGCGGGGAGGCCGGGCCCATCCACCACCTGGTGTCCGCCTTCATGCTGGCTGAGAACATCTCGCACGGCCTGCTGCTGCGCAAGGTCAGGCTGCACCCCCGCCTCCCTCCCGGGGGCCCTCCCTCCCACCCTTCGGGCCCCCTCCGCCCCGAGGCCCCAGCGGAGTCCTGGCAGTCACCGCCCCTCCACCGGTCAGGCCCCGCCGGGCCCCCCACGCCTGCGGCCGGTGCTCCCGGCCCGGGTACCTGACGGCCCCGCCCTGTCGCCGCCAGGCCCCAGTCCTGCAGTACCTGTACTACCTGGCCCAGATCGGCATCGCCATGTCCCCGCTCAGCAACAACAGCCTCTTCCTGAGCTACCACCGCAACCCGCTGCCCGAGTACCTGTCCCGCGGCCTCATGGTCTCCCTGTCCACCGACGACCCCCTGCAGTTCCACTTCACCAAGGTCAGACCGGGTGTCGCAGCAGGGACTCCCCGCACTGGGCACTCAGGGCCGCCTGCTCCCTGTGGGGCGGGTGCAGTGTGCCAGGGCGAGTCCGGGGGGAGGGCTGGGCCGCGGCCCGGGCGCAGGGCTGAGGGAGCCTCCCGTGCAGGAGCCGCTGATGGAGGAGTACAGCATCGCCACCCAGGTGTGGAAGCTCAGCTCCTGCGACATGTGCGAGCTGGCCCGCAACAGCGTGCTCATGAGCGGCTTCTCCCACAAGGTACCGCCCCTCCTCGTCCTGCCCGCTCCGCTGGGACGGCCCGGGGGCCCGGGCATCGCCCCCAGAGCAGAGCCGGCTGCAGCCTGCCCTCCCCTCCCCTGCAGGTGAAGAGCCACTGGCTGGGCCCCAACTACACCAAGGAGGGCCCCGAGGGCAACGACATCCGCCGCACCAACGTGCCAGACATCCGCGTGGGCTACCGGCATGAGACGCTGTGCCAGGAGCTGGCGCTCATCACGCAGGCCGTGCAGAGTGAGATGCTGGAGACCATCCCCGAGGAGCCGGGCCTCACCATGAGCCCGGGGCCCCAGTGAGCGGCCCCGCGCCCGCGGCTCGGCTCCTGACCACGTGTTGTTCTCGGACCCCCTCCCCCCACTGTCGTGGCCCCTGCATGTGTCGTGCTCCTCCGTTGTCCTGCATGTCTCTCCCTCTGTCCGCCTCCGTGCCTCCCCGGAAGCAGGGCCCCGGATGCCCTCCGCCCGTTCTCGGCTCAGGTGGCACCCGTGGCCCAGGTCTGAGGGCGGCCCTGCCAGTGGCCCTGTCCTGGCCAGGGCTGCTCGTCGGGGGCTGGCCCCTCCGGCCTCCGGAGTCCCGCCTGAGCTTCGGCCAGGGATTGAGCTGAGCCCCCGTCCTGTTTACGTGGCCAAAGTCCCAGGTGGGGCCTGCACAGTCTGCCGTGGGCGCGGGGCTGCCGGCGTCTGGGGGGCTCCGGCGGGGGTCAGAGCTGGGCTGAGAGCCGGCGGAGCCCCAGCGTCCTGGACGTGGCCTCGGAGGCGTGGGACCACCGCCTCTGCCCAGTCGGTGCCCGGCAGCCTTCTCCGTCCTTCCTCCGGGCCGGGTGCCCTGCTGTCCGCTTCCTGTGCCATGTCGGGGGCACTGCCACTGGGGGCTCCTGGACCTGCCACCGGCCCTGGAGTGGCATCTCCGATGTGGTCCCCAGAGTTCTGGCCAGACCTGACTCCCGCTGGTGCCCTGTGCTGTCGTGTGGACCGAGGCCTTCGCTGAGATGCAGTGTTTCGTACAGTCCCGTCCCTCCTAGTGCATGAGAAATAAAGAGTATTTAAGTAAAGAGGCAGGCGGGTCTCTGTGGGGAGAGGGGCAGCCAGGAGCACCGTGGAGGGGAGGATGGGATTCTCAGGCGCGGCAGGGCCTGGCCAGGGTGTGTGCCTGTCTGTGCACAGGAAGCCGTGGGAGGCAGAGAGGCCCATGGGGGTCCCGTCTGCCATCGCAGCCTCATCCAGCTGTGCCCTCTGAAGGGGACACTGCCCGTCACTGCGGCCCCATGGCACCGCCGGGAGATGTGGGAGTGGGCTCCCACTCTGTGACCCTGCACGTTCACGGCACTTGTTTAAAAGGCCATTTCCAGCCCCCCCTCCCCCTCCGAACCCCATTTAGTGAGTGGAAGGTGCAGCATGGAAACTGAACCAGCTCGGCTTCTGTCCCGTGTGTGACACAACATCTGGAACACCTGCCGGGAGGGGAGTGAGTGCGCCCTGTGCTGGGCAGGGTCCTGGGTTGGCACCGAGAAGCCTGTTGCCGCTGCTGCTGAGTGGGGCAGAGCACAGGCTGGCTCTTTCGGAAGCAATTAGCCCTGGAACAGCGTGATCCGAGTAATTGAAGGCCTGCTGAAAGCTGGCTTCCTCCGCCCCTCTTGTCGGCTCGCTCGGCCCAGCCGCTGCGTCTGTGCCAGCCTCCTCCTGGCATGTCACTCGCCCGGTGTCCCCGGGCAGAAGCTCTCCTGTACCCTTGCTTCCGGAGGGCCCCTGGAGGGCCAGGCCTGCTCCTGGCCAGGACCCAGGGTCCTCCGTCTGCAGAAGGCTTCTCTTGTCGGTGTCTTGTAGCCGACGACATTTCAGAGCCACGTCAGGGCTGGCTGAGAAGCCAGAGGCTGTACAGCTCTGGCTGATTTCTGTTGGGGAAACAGCAGGTGCAAGTGGCCTGTGGCAGGACCCGGACTGGAAGCCGGGAGCTTAGCATCCAGGCGCCTCCACCCCACCTGGGCCCCCTCTGCCTGAAGGACGCAGCTGCTCCAGGTGGAGGGGACTCCTGTTCAAGGGGTTCCTTACATTTAATAATAAAAACGTGCTGTGTCTTCTCTTCGTTTGCAAAACAAGGGAGCAGGATTAGAGGATCTTTCTAGAAGGTCCTTTGGGAAGAAGAATTGCCTGCTTTGGACTCCGTAGTTACCGAGTTTGTGTGTGATAGAACCCTTCATGCCGTTTTCTCGTCCTCTGTACCGCCTTCTCGGTGTGTGCTGGGACCCAGCCCTGAGATCACTACCGATTCCAAGAGTTTCTTAGCAAGCTCCCACCATTTTTTTTTTTTTTCTTTTAACAATTTGCTTCCGGATTTTTTTTCCCTCTGAAATCTCTTTCAAACATTTATTAAGAATATTTTTAAAACAGTAAGGCCTTAATATTTTTTTCCTACCTGGAAAGAAGCTAACTTTCATCCCAGGAATTTGGAAAATATACAAAAATCGGAACAACAGCAGAAGCAAAAAGCTCCCTGGTTGACTCATAGCAACAGACGTTTGCTGATCATCTGCATGCCTGCGATCTACGTTTTAAGATATATTTATACGTGTCTTTCAGTTATTTTTAAAGAAAGTATTTCTGAGTTGAGTTCTATGTGTAATTTTGTGGTTTTCAAGTACTTTAATAGATCTTTCCGTATTTCATTAAAGTATTTATAAGCATAAATCCTAATTCCTGTTCACTGGCCTGTGGCAAGCCTCACTAGCTCTTTTTGGTTGAGAACAACTGTGGCCAATGTTGTGAGTGACCTCTCTCTGGAGCCACACCCTGCTTCCTGGCTGTGTGACCTTGGGCAAGTTACTTTCCCTCTCTGTGCCTCCTGGGCTCCGGGGAGGATCCAAGTGCCCAGGCTTCTCTCCAGGGTCAGAGCCTGGGCGATGGTGAAGACCTGGAAGGAGGACTTCGGGGGCTGCAGAATAGGAAACGGACAAAGTCACAACGGACAAGTGTTTCAATGCCTTCCCAGCGCCGGGCTGCACGGCCACTCTAATCCTTGTTAGGCCTGGCGTCCACAGAAATGTCAGAGTTGAAAACAACTTGTAAATTGGGCTTTTGGCAAGAGTTCCAGACTCTGCAGGATGATTGAAGAGCAATCATAAGACCAAGAAAGAAAAATAAATCCTAGCCAATAGTATACTAAGCGAGTTACTCATCGTCAAGTAATTTCAAAAGCAAATTCAGAAAAGCCAAGGAGAGTTCTATTTAGTGTGAGAATGTGAGTTTGTTTTAACTCTGTTCCCAGGAAAATGGGGCCGGGTCTGTGGAGGGCTGACAATGGCCCTGCCATCAGCTCTGCCTAGCCGAGCCCCTTTCTCCCGCCTGCCCTCTACCCCGCTGGGCATGTCCAGGGCCCCTAGTCAGACGTGTGCAACCCTCGTGCGGCCGGGGGTTCTGGCTCCAGTTAGAAGAAGCTGACCTGGATTTGAAACCTGAGTTTCCCGAGGCAACCCCTCCCCCAGACGTCCCAGGTTTGGGGTGCTGTGCAAAGGGGAGAGTACAGCCCATTTCCAGCCTCGCATGCAGAGCTAGGGTTCAAATTGAAGTTTGTGAGACTCCAGGTTCCAAGCAGAAGCACAGGCATGCGGCTCTGGAGGACCGGCAAACCCCAGAGTCTTGACAGACAATGCTGTCTGGGAGATCCGAATCTCACATCATCTGAGACACAGTGAGCGCCACCTGCTGAGTGACAGGCCTCTTGGTCTCTGCAAAGGGAAGAGACCGTTCTGCAGCAGGCTGCCCGCATCCGACCTGGTGACCTGCAGGACCAGCCGCCTGCGGTTTCTGCTGGGAGAGCAGGGCCGCCCTGGGTTTAGTGCCACCCACTGGTGAGGGGTAAACCTGAGGAACTTCCTAATGAAGTGATGTGTGCTCCCCTAGCTCTCCGTCCTGATCAGACTGCTCCCTGCCCCGCCCACCCCCAGGCTTCCGCCCCATCTACAGATCGTCCCCATGGGCCTCTCCTTCAAGGCCAGTTCCGTGTTGTTCTCTGATATTTAATTTTTTTATTAAAAATATATTTTATTGATTTTTTACAGAGAGGAAGGGAGAGGGATAGAGAGTTAGAAACATCGATGAGAGAGAAACAACAATCAGCTGTCTCCTGCACACCCCACACCAGGGATGTGCCCGCAACCAATGTACATGCCTTCGACCGGAATCGAACCTGGGACCTTTCAGTCGGCAGGCCAACTTTCTATCCACTGAGCCAAACCGGTTTATTTCAGAGGCCTGTCAATTGCTCCTGTGTCAGGAAAATATCTTGCCTCCGCATGGGTTGCCCCCCACTCCTTGCTGTCTCCAACTCCCCCCTCCCCTCCCCCCCAGAGGGCCAATGCCTGCTGCTCTGCTCACAGCCCAGAGGCAGGGAGGTTTGGGGACAGGCCTGTGCAGGGCAGAGGCGGGGAGAGGAGAGCAGGGGGACGCTCCTCTGCAGCTCCCCCTGGGCCTCAGTGGGTAAATGGATCAGCACAGGCCCAGCTGCAGTTGGAGCCAGTGCTCAAGGGTCCTCCACCTGTCACCGTAGCCAGCGATGGCCGTCAGTGAGACTGACCCCCTCTGACCCGCTCCCAGGAGATGCTGCCTACAAGCCTACCGCAGGGAATCCAAACTCTGAGCACAGGGTTTCCCAAGGGCCCCCAGCACTGGCTTGGGAGCGGGGAGTTGGAACAAGTGTCCTCACCCTAACCCTAATCTTGTGCCTTTACCCTAGCCCTAACCCTAACCCCAGACGCAGCCTCATGCTGGGTGGCACAGCGTGGCAAGCAGAGTTCAGGCTTGTTCGGTCCCTGATCGCCGGGAGGCTGTCGGTGCACACCCTGCCTGAGCAGGTGGTGGCCTGGCCCGGGGGTGCCCGTGCCGCTGCGCTATCACCGAGTACTGGCTCTTGCGTCTGGGAGGTCTTGGCGGCACCCTACAGGCACATACACACCAGGCCAAGCCTCAGTCGCCCCTGCTCCGTCCCTGGCCTGCCCAGGCGCTGCACAGGCTCCGCGCCCACAGAGCTGCCCGGGCGCCTCAGTGCTGTTGGGGGTGGTGGGGTAGGCATTCACGCCTAGGTATCCCGTCTGTCTTGGGTGCTGGAGCCCCCAGGGTGAAGCATCCAGATGTGTGGCCTCCTCCTTCCCCCCTCTCTGCCACTTCCTGTGTGGGTGCACAGGTACCTGGCCGGGCTGCGTGGGACCGCGGTCAGGTACAACCAGGACTGATGCTCACCGTGTGAGTTAGGGAAAGGCGGGCCCTCAGCGCAGACACAGCCCTGTAACTCACAGAACCGCCGGCATCGTTGGGGGGAGGAACGTGTGTCCCTCCCTCCAGGTGGCTGCAGCTGGGCGAGACCAAGTTCCTGGGTGCAGGCTGCCCCTTGACTGGTAGCCTTTTGCAGTTCTCAACTTGTCCATAGGGTGGGGGTACTGAGACCTTAGACTTCTTGCCCCAGCTCCTGGCTGGGCTGATGGGGTACCCTCGCCAGGCACCCATGCTCACCTTCCTTCATTCAACCCCCTCCTCCTCTCTGCCCTCTGACTGCTGCCAGTCTGTTCCCTGTTTCAGTAACTTGAATTGACTTATTTCACCAGGCCTATACCATAAATACAGTGTGATATTCGCTTTAAAAAATACGTTTTCTCAGTGGACTCCAGGAATGTTTCTGTTCCAAGCTCAAGATGTGTAAAACTCAGAATGGCAAATCCTAATGTACTGTGACAAATATTAGAGGGCTATTTAGAAGGCCAGCACTTGTGTGCGTGCATGGCCAACAGGGAGTCAGGATTCTGGAGTCTTGGAGGAGCTTTCAGGCTGGCTGGTCTACCAGTGACAGGTGTCCATTGAAATTCGATCTGAGGGGTGCCACTCTGGGTGTTACTGGCAGTCTGAGCCTCCTGAGCCCAGAGGGGAGGCTGAGTGATGCCTGGAGGGGAAGGAAGGAAAGGGGAGGGAGATGAGCCTCTTTTATTTTAAAATATATTTTATTGATTTTTTACAGAGAGGAAGGAAGAGGGATAGAGAGCTAGAGACATCGATGAGAGAGAAACATCGACCAGCTGCCTCCTGCACACCCCCTACTAGGGATGTGCCCGCAACCAAGGTACATGCTGGACCAGAATCGAACCTGGGACCTTTCAGTCCGCAGACCGACGCTCTTATCCACTGAGCCAAACAGCTTTTGGCTTTTATTTTTTATTTTTATTTTATTTTTTTGCGATTCAGATTTGTTTCCCGAGGGCACCGTCCACTCCCTCGGACGGGCCGAGGTCTGAACGCGGACGGGGAGCCAGGCGAGCCCGGCCCGGCGTTCGGCCGCAGCGCCCGGACCCCGGCCCCGCAGCCCCCGCGGCTCGGGGCGGAAATGCCCTGCGCCAGTCGCTCCCCAGCCGCCAAACGCTACGCTTCCGAGCCTCCCGGGCCGCGTCATCAGGAGAACTCCCGCGGCGATTGGGTGGTTGGTGGGGCGGGGGCGGGACTAAGAGGGCGGAGGGGCGGAGCCTCCATCAGGCCCCACCCCCGGCGCGGGCCCCGCTCGGCTGAGTGCCGCCCTGCCGGAGGGAACGCTGACCATGGCTATGACCCTGGGGTACTGGGACATCCGGGGGGTGAGCCAGGGGACCCCGGCGGGTGGGGTGGAGCCGGCGGCCGGCGGGCGGGCGGGGAGGTGCTGAGCAGCGTCATCGGTTCCACCTGAAGGTTCCCCAGGGCTGCCCGGAGCCCAGCCCCTGCCCCCCCATCACCACCTGTCATCAGGCGGGCCGGGGGTGTCTGTGTGCTGGGGGAGAGGATGGGGGCGCAGTTGGAGCGGAGCGAGCCCCGGGTGGAGCCCTGGGACTCTGACCTCTGCGCCGCTGTCCCTCCAGCTGGCTCACGCCATCCGCCTGCTCCTGGAGTACACAGACTCCCCCTACGAGGAGAAGAAGTACTCGATGGGGGACGGTAATGGCACCCTGTCGCGTTAGACTTCAGCCCAACTCCTGCTCATATGGTCCCCGCCACCTGTGGCTCCCCTCTGCGCCCTCCGCTGGCCGGAGCAGGGCCTGCGCCCTCCCGCGCCCTCCCGCACCCTCTGAGGGTGGACCTTGGCCTCAGGGGGAGTGGGGGGGTGGGGGGGCAGCTGGGCCGCAGTGAAGCCTGGTCCCTGTGGGTGCCTGGCTCTTCACAGCGCTCTTTCCCCCAAACCGGGGAGAGACTCAGTGCTCAGATTCCACACTCCTCTGCTCAGGGGCCTGGCCACTGGCTCCCTGGTGGGTCCCGGGAGGGAGGGCTGGCATGGGGGGTGGTCCCTTCACTCCATCTTCCCCACCACAGGGCCCGACTTTGACAGAAGCCAGTGGCTGAACGAGAAATTCAAGCTGGGCCTGGACTTCCCCAATGTAGGTGCAGGGAGTGGGGGCAGTGGGCGTGGGGAGCCTGCCTCTGCTCTGAGGCCTCCTCTCCCGGCTCAGACAGAGGCTTTGGGGTCCAGGGCCTCGCTCAGCCCCAGCTCCCTGGTTCTGTGGCTGCTTCCCCACGATGCTGTGTGCAGCCATTCCTTCCTGGGACAGTACAGCTGCTCAGGGCCTCACAGTGAGCCCAGGCTTCATCCCTGCCCCGGTGCAGGGAGACGCAGGGAGGGGCTCCGGGGCGGCCTGTGCCCTCCTGACCTGCCTCTGTCCCCCCTCTCCTGCGCCCCCCATACTCCCTAACCCTAACCCCGCCCCCACAGCTGCCCTACTTGATTGACGGGACTCGCAAGCTCACCCAGAGCAATGCCATCCTTCGCTACATTGCTCGCAAGCACAACCTCTGTGAGTGGGGCTGGGGCGGGTGCAGGGGGTCGGGCGGGCCTGGCCCTGAGCTGGCGGCCTGGGAGGCTGAGGGGAGTCCCTGTTGTGTCCACAGGTGGGGAGACGGAGGAGGAGAAGATCCGCGTGGACATGCTGGAGAACGAGGTGATGGACACGGGCAATCAGCTGGCAAGGGTCTGCTACAGCCCTGACTTCGTGAGTTGCCTCCTACTGATCTGGATGGGAAGGCTTTGATAGGAGCTTAGACACTTAATCACGTCTTCACTGGTTCTGCTTGGGATTGAGCTTCTGCCCCTCCAGGTGGGTCCCTGTCCTGCCAGCAGAGGGACCCTCAGAGCCCCAGGTGCCTCACATGACACCTCTCACCCAGTTCCCCTCCATCTTCGCACAGAGCGCAGACTCCCGCGCTCTGAGCTTAGTTCCTAGCGGTGTGTGTGGCTTGTTAGCCCCGCCTCCTTGACACCTTTCCCAGGAGGTAGCGTGAGGCACCTACAGGGCCTCCGTGCTCCCCACTCCTTCCTCTCAGGTTCTGCCTGTCTGTCCAGAAAGTGCTCACGTGTCCTTCTGTCACCACCAGCTGGAATGCCCTTCCCTGGGCCATGTTAGCTCTGACACCTTCCTTTCTGCCCAGCCTCTGGGCCCAGGCCCTGCAGGCTCTCCCGCTCCTGGGCCTGGCCCGGGCGGGTGTGGGGATGAGAGGAGACGGGGTCAGGCACAGGCTGGTGTCTCAGTGCTTCCAACTGCCTGTCCCAGCGGGAGGTGGTCCCCAGGAGGAGGCTAGTGAGCACAGGTTTGGTTAAATCCAGCGCAAATGCCTGGATTGCAGACTCAATTCCCAGTGGGGGGGTCTGCAGGTGCAGCTGGGGACAAGGCTGCCCACGTGCCCAGCCCTGGGAGGCCTGCCCTCTGCCCAGGAGCCCCTGGTGCAGGTGGTGACCCCCGTTTTGTGCCTCAGGAGAAACAGAAGCCTGAATACTTGAAGGCGCTCCCTGAAAAGATGAAGCTCTTCTCTCAGTTCCTGGGGAAGAAGTCGTGGTTTGCGGGGGACAAGGTACGGGGAGGCTTTGGGGCGGGGGAGCGGACGTGTCCCCGTTGTTCCAGAGTTTGGCGCCCGTTCACTGTGTGCCCGCCCGCAGCTCACCTACGTGGACTTCCTGGCCTACGACGTTCTTGACCTGCACCGCACGTTCGAGCCCACGTGCCTGGATACGTTCCCGAATCTGAAGGACTTCATCGCCCGCATCGAGGTGAGCCCTCTGATCCTCCTACTATTTCTCTTTAGTCTCCTCTTTCTCTTTTTTAAAAAACACATTTTTATTGATTTCAGAGAGGAAGGGAGAGGGAGAGAGAGAGAGAGAGAAACATCAATGATGAGAGAGAATCATTGATCAGCTGCCTCCTGCAGACCCCCCACTGGGAATTGAGTCTGCAATCCAGGCCTGTGCGTGAGGGGGAATTGAACCGTGACCTCCTGGTTCAACCACTGAGCCATGCCAGCCCGGCTCCCCCTCATTTTTTTTTTTTTAATAAATTTTTATTGATTTCAGAGAGGAAGGGAGAGGGAGAGAGAGTTAGAAACATCAATGATGAGAGAGAACCATTGATAGGCTGCCTCCTGCATGTCCTCCGCTGGGGATCGAGCCCACAGCCCGGGCCTGTGCCCCGGACTGGAATGTAACTCAGGACGTTTCAGTCTGCAGGCCAACGCTCTTATCTATTGAGCCAAACCAGCCAGGGTTCCCCCTTATTCTTGATGCTTCCCTACTCCTGGAGCTAAAATGAAGCATAACTAGCATTCATTGAGGACTTGCTTTATGCCAGGATCTGTGCTCACCGTGTTACATACATTGAGTTTAATTTAACCTTTAGGACATCCTATGTGGTAGAAGATTTATTACCTCATTGATTTTATTAAATCATTAACAGATAATAAAACGAGGCTGAAAGGGGAAGTCATTTGCTCAAGGTCGCAGAGCCAGTCCTCTGGGTCACAGCCCCCGCACGGGGGCTCCCGGGGGCAGCAGGCAGGGGCCCCCTCCCTGTGCCAGGAAGGCGAGCGCAGGCCTCCTCCAGCCTGCACGCCGCAGCTCCGGGCTTTGTGGAGGAAGCAGAGTGTTGCAGAGTGTGTACGGAGGGAATGATATTAAGTCCCAGAGACACCGAGTGTCTCCTCCCTGTCTCTGGACGGCTCTGCAGCCCGGGGTGCCCTCTGGGCGGTGCTGAGGTCTCCGGGCTGTGGGGCCGGGATCGGCGGTGCGGTTGCCGCTGCAGAAAGATGTTACCTTGACATCTTCTGTGGAGGGCACTTTTCTTCGCGCCCCTCTCCCCTGCTCCTCTGCAGTCACACAAGGCACTAGGTGCCCCCCTCTTCTGTATGAGGCTCTGTGACAGGCACAGCGAGGATCAGAGGGGACCCAGCCCTGGCCCCGCTCCTGGGTCTCAGCGAGGAAGTGCAGGAGTCCCAGCTGTGTGGTCCTGCGGTCCTAACCCTCATCTCACAGCTCATCCTCGGTTACCTTAGTCAGCTCACAGAGGATCAATGAAGTCTGCTTTCCCTGGTGGCGTGGCTCAGTGGTCAGGCATCGACCTATGAACCTGGAGGTCACGGTTTGATTTCCAGTCGGGGCACAGGCCCAGGTTGTGGGCTCAGTCCCTGGTGGGCAGTGTGCGGGAGGCGGCCCGTCAGTGATTCTCTCTCATGGATGTTTCTATCTCTCCCTCTCCCTTCCTCCCTGAAATCAATACAAATATATTAAAAACAAATAAAGTGGGCTTTATCCCAGATTTGGGAATTTGAGGCCCAGACTTTGCAGCTTACAGTCTGTCTCCCCCTCCCTCTCCCCATCAGGAGGTCTGCTCTGCCAGCCAGTTCCCATCGGCTCTGGTTCGGGTCCAGGGCCATCGGCCTGGGATATTATGCAAGAGCTGGCGGACTGGCTGGCTGGGAGGGACGGGGCACAGCTGTGGCTGCAGCCTGCGGCCTGCGGGGGCCAGGCCTTGGTTCCAGGCCGCCCCGGGCCCTGCGGGTCCTGTGGACGCTACTGGACACTGTCTGTCTGGGGGACATGGCGCTCACACACCCCGTGTGTCCAAGGCCTGGCTGGCTGCAGCTGCCCAGGATGAGGCAGGTCACGGCCCAGTGGGATTGGGCTCAGGAGCCAGGCCACGCAGCTGGACTTTCTCCTTTAAGGGCCCTCTCAGCTTTCACCCCGTTTTGCTGAGTCATGGTGAGCCCCGGCCTGCTCTGCCAGCTGCACAGGCACAGCCTGAGCCCTGGGTTCTGCCTGGGTCCCTCCTGGGCGGCGGAGCCTCCCTGTGGGAAGGGGACTGTGTGTGCAGATGGGAGGGAGGGTCAAGGCCTCCTGTGTGGGCGGGAGGGAGGGAGGGAGGGCAGCAGAGCACAGGGTGGGGAGAGCCAGGCTGCCTTCCAGCCCTGCCCGCCCACAGCTGTGTGAGCGATTGGAAGGGCTTCAGCTCTGAGTGCCTCAGTTTCCCTTCTGATCAACGGCGATAGCAGAACCTATCCCGTAGGCCAAGCATGCCACACTTGCAGCCCGAGGGCTGCCTGCCATGTTTATTTGGCCCTTGTTAGCCTTGGAGTTTGACATGCTTGCTGCAGGCAGTTGTGTGGAATGTTGTAAACCTGTTTCGCAATCTCTGATGGCTCCAAGGCCCCGAGCACAGTGGGAGCTGTGACTGAGATATGCCCGTTACAGGAAATGGTGAGAGTTAACTCAGCAGAACAGGGGACCCCAGGAAGACTCTTGTGCCAGGATCCTGAACTGGGAGAGTCTGCAGTGGGGCTGTGTGAGCCTGGGGGAGGGGTTGGGCAGCAGACGCTGAGCTCTGACACCCCCTCCCTCCCCCCAGGGCCTGGAGAAGATCGCTGCCTACATGAAGTCCAGCCGCTTCCTCCCAGCACCCATTTACACAAAGATCGCCGTGTGGGGCAACAAGTAGTGCCCAGAAGTGCAGGGCAGGGCATGGGTGCCAGGAGCAATCCGGGCCTGGAGAGCAGCTGGTCCTCCCTGAACCCGCGGAACCAGCTGCCTTGTTCTTTTCTCCCTTTCCTCCCTTCACCCCCACTCAGGACCCCCCATCCCAGTTCACCAGGACTTTAGACTCTCCAGCACCCCTGTTCCGTGAAGGCTCCCCCTGACATTGTCCCTCTGCACAAGGCCAACCGGACTGACGTCCCTTCGGGAGTTGCTCTGTTTTGAGGAGCCCGATTGGAGCCCTGGCCCGTGGAGGTCAGCCCTGAGCCCCCCCCCCTCTGCTCTGAGACCAGGAGTGCCTGTGCGCAGGCTCTGCTCCCGGGTGGCCCCCCGCCCAGCTGCCTGAGCCCCGGGAAGCCTGGTCACACCCGCTGTGGCCCGTCTGATTCCCTCCTGGCCTCCGAGCTCACTCTCCAGCAGGCCCTGCTGCGCCTCGGGGTCTGCCCGGGGGAGCTGGCAGGGGCGGGTCCTTGGGGATCTGGGTGAGACGTCTTGTTCCCATTGCCGACAGCTTCGGAGCAGGACACGCCACGGGCTCTGGAACATGTTCCTGTGGAGGTGGCACAACGGGCCACGGATCACAGCGGGACTTCAAAGGCCGCCGGGGCCACTCAGACCCCAGAGCACACATGTGTCAGGGTCCGGGCTTGGGGCCGGAATCCGTGGGCCTGGACCGCTGAGGGTCTGCCAGGCCCACACTGCGGTCCTGCGGGGAGTCCCCAGGCTCCCGACGGAGCTCCCCACCCCACAGGCAGCTGGGCCCTCAGCGGCCACCTCTTCCCGCTGCACTCCCCCCCCCCCCCCAGCACCCCCTCACACGCCCTGTGTGACCCCGTGCTCCGGGTTCTGATCCGGTTAGCATCGGGGATGCCTAGGACAGTTCTGGGGCTGCGCTCAATACCCGGCCTCTCGGCAGGGGCTGGTTCTGGATTTTCATCAACAACTGCACCCATAAAGCCGAATGATTAATTTTCATTTGATTCTTGTTCAGTTTTTTAAATGTCAGAGGGAGGGGATTGAACCATGCCCTCCAGGTTCATAGGTCGCTGCTCAACCACTGAGCCACACCAGCTGGGCTTCATTGGATTATCGCTCTCAGACACATGGCTTAAGAGCTGGATCCTCCAAAGTCCAACACAGAGACCCATCTCCTTCCCTGTGTCCTTGCCCTGGGTGTCTTTCCCCCCCACCCCCCCAAGAATGAGGGCCTCCGGGATTCCGGGATTCCAAGGTCTGGAAGGTGCGTTCAGACTGGCTAGTCTGCCAGGTGCTGTTGAAACTGATTTGAGGGGCAACGCTGGAGTAACCGGCAGCTAGGGGACTCTGCAGCCCCGGGTGGGGGGTGGAGGGTGCCTGGAGGGGAAGCAGGGGGGAAGGGGGCTTGTGTTTTGTGATTCAGATTCGTCTCCAGAGCGCAGGGCCCACTCCCCAGCTCCTGGGCCGGGAGCGAAGGCCGGCCGAGGTCTGGACACGGGTGGGGTCCCTTGGGCGTCCTGGCGCCCAGACTGTGCCCCCAACGTCCATGGCCCGGCGGCGGGCACGCTCCGCTTCACTGCGTCCCTGGAATGGGGCGGTGCGGGGTGGGGGACGGAGTGGGCGGTGTGGGGTGAGGGACTGGGTGGTGAGGGGTGGGGGACGGGGCGGTGTGGGGTGGTTTGGGGTAGTTTGGGGCGGTGTGGGGTTGTTTGGGGCCGTTTGGGGCGGTGTAGGGTGTGGGCGGGCTGAGGGACGGAGTGGGCGGTGTGGGGTGGTTTGGGGCGGTGCGGGGTTGTTTGCGGCGGTGCGGGGTGGTTCGGGGCGGTGTGGGGTGTGGGCGGGCTGAGGGACGGAGTGGGCGGTGTGGGGTGAGGGACAGGGTGGTGAGGGGTGGGGGTCGGGGCGGTGCGGGGTGGTTTGGGGCGGTGTGGGGTTGTTTGGGGCGGTTTGGGGCGGTGCGGGGTGTGGGCGGGCTGAGGGACGGAGTGGGCGGTGTGGGGTGAGGGACAGGGTGGTGAGGGGTGGGGGTCGGGGCGGTGCGGGGTGGTTTGGGGCGGTGCGGGGTTGTTTGGGGCGGTGCGGGGTGGTTCGGGGCGGTGTGGGGTTGTTTGGGGCGGTTTGGGGCGGTGCGGGGTGTGGGCGGGCTGGGGGCGGGAACAGGGGCGGAAACCGGGGGGCTGAGCGCACGCAGGCCCCGCCCCCGCGGACGGAGCTCATTTCCCAGCCCCGCCGCCCAGAGCTCTCCGCTCAGAGGAACGGGCACCATGGCCATGACGCTGGGGTACTGGGACATCCGAGGGGTGAGCGGTCCCGGGGGCGGGGCGGGGGCAGCGGGGATGGAACGGCGGGCGGGCGGGCGGTGCTGAGCAGCCGGGCCGGTCCACCTGGAGGTCCCGGGGCCCTCCCGCCGCCTGTGCCCGGCGGGCGCGGGCCGGGTGTCTGTGTGCTGGGGGAGAGGATGGGGTGCAGTTGGAGCGGAGCGCGCCCCGGGTGGAGCCCTGGGACTCTGACCTCGGTGCCGCCGCCCTGCAGCTGGCTCACGCCATCCGCCTGCTCCTGGAGTACACAGACTCCCCCTACGAGGAGAAGAAGTACTCGATGTTGGGGAACGGTAATGGCACCCTGTGGCGTTCCAACGACTTGGGCCCAACTCCTGCTCATTTGGTCCCGAGACGCCGGGCCCCGCCACCTGTGGCTCCCCTCTGCGCCCTCCGCTGGCCGGAGCAGGCCCTGCGCCCTCCCGCACCCTTTGAGGGTGGACCTTGGCCTTAGGTGGGGGAGGTCGGGAGCGGGGTGGACTGTGCCCCCCTGCCAGTAACTGCGATGGCTCCCCTGGATTTGGCCACCCTCATGGAGGCCTGGTCCCTGTGGGTGCCTGGTTCTTCACAGCGCTCTTTCCCCCAAACCGGGGAGAGACTCAGTGCTCAGATTCCACACTCCTCTGCTCAGGGGCCTGGCCACTGGCTCCCTGGTGGGTCGTGGGAGGGAGGGCTGGCATGGGGGGTGGTCCCTTCACTCCATCTTCCCCACCACAGGGCCCGACTTTGACAGAAGCCAGTGGCTGAACGAGAAATTCAAGCTGGGCCTGGACTTCCCCAATGTAGGTGCAGGGAGTGGGGGCAGTGGGCGTGGGGAGCCTGCCTCTGCTCTGAGGCCTCCTCTCCCGGCTCAGACAGGGGCTTTGGGGTCCAGGGCCTCGCTCAGCCCCAGCTCCCTGGTTCTTGTGGCTGCTTCCCCACGATGCTGTGTGCAGCCATTCCTTCCTGGGACAGTACAGCTGCTCAGGGCCTCACAGTGAGCCCAGGCTTCATCCCTGCCCCGGTGCAGGGAGACGCAGGGAGGGGCTCCTGGGCGGCCTGTGCCCTCCTGACCTGCCTCTGTCCCCCCTCTCCTGCGCCCCCCCATACTCCCTAACCCTAACCCCGCCCCCACAGCTGCCCTACTTGATTGACGGGACTCGCAAGCTCACCCAGAGCAATGCCATCCTTCGCTACATTGCTCGCAAGCACAACCTCTGTGAGTGGGGCTGGGGCGGGTGCAGGGGGTCGGGCGGGCCTGGCCCTGAGCTGGCGGCCTGGGAGGCTGAGGGGAGTCCCTGTTGTGTCCACAGGTGGGGAGACGGAGGAGGAGAAGATCCGCGTGGACATGCTGGAGAATGAGGTGATGGACCTCCGGATGTACAACATCAGGACCTGCTACAGCCCTGACTTTGTGAGTCCCCTCTGGAGGCTGGGCTGAGACTGGACCTTTGCGTCCCATCCGCGCTCCTCCTGCTTGCCATTGAGCTCCTGGAGCTTCTGCCCCTCCAGGCGGGTCCCTGTCCTGCCAGCAGAGGGACCCTCAGAGCCCCAGGTGCCTCACATAACACCTCTCACCCAGTTGCCCTCCATCTTCGCACAGAGCGCAGACTCCCGCGCTCTGAGCTTAGTTCCTAGCGGTGTGTGTGGCTTGTTAGCCCCGCCTCCTTGACACCTTTGGGCATCAGCACACTTTCCCAGCAGGCAGCCTGGGGCACCCACAGGGCCTCCGTGCCCCCCACTCCTTCCTCTCAGCCTCTCAGGTTCTGCCTGTCTGTCCAGAAAGTGCTCACGTGTCCTTCTGTCACCACCAGCTGGAATGCCCTTCCCTGGGCCATGTTAGCTCTGGCACCTTCCTTTCTGCCCAGCCTCTGGGCCCAGGCCCTGCGGGCTCTCCCGCTCCTGGGCCTGGCCCGGGCGGGTGTGGGGATGAGAGGAGACGGGGTCAGGCACAGGCTGGTGTCTCTGTGCTTCCAGCTGCCTGTCCCAGCGGGAGGTGGTCCCCAGGAGGAGGCTAGGGAGCACAGGTTGGGTTAAATGGTAACCTGGGCACTGACCCAGGTGCAGCTGGGGACAAGGCTGCCCACGTGCCCAGCCCTGGGAGGCCTGCCCTCTGCCCAGGAGCCCCTGGTGCAGGTGGTGACCCCCGTTTTGTGCCTCAGGAGAAACAGAAGCCCGAGTTCTTGAAGGCGCTCCCTGAAAAGTTGAAGCTCTTCTCACAGTTCCTGGGGAAGAAGTCGTGGTTTGCGGGGGACAAGGTACGGGGAGGCTTTGGGGTGGGGGAGCGGGCATGTCCCTGTTTCAGAGTTTGGCGCCCGTTCACCGTGTGCCCGCCCGCAGCTCACCTACGTGGACTTCCTGGCCTACGACCTGCTGGACGTGCTGCGCCTGTTCGAGCCCACGTGCCTGGATGCGTTCCCGAACCTGAAGGACTTCATCGCCCGCTTCGAGGTGAGCCCTCTGATCCTCCTCCTGTCTGTGTCTTTTGTCTCCCTCATCTCCCTGAGGCTCCTCTCGTCTGGGAGCTCAGAGGGGCTTAACCAGCTTTCCCGGAGGACTGGCTTAATGCCGGGACCTGCGCTCGGCGCGATGCTTGCACCGGGTGAAATGTCGTCTTTAAGCCTCTCCTACACGGGAACCTTTTTCACGTCCGTTTTAGGAAATGGAACTTTGGAAAGGGGGGGTCGTTCGCTCAAGGTCGCAGAGCCAGTCCGCTGGGTCACAGCCCCCGCACGGGGGCTCCCGGGGGCAGCAGGCAGGGGCCCCCTCCCTGTGCCAGGAAGGCGAGCGCAGGCCTCCTCCAGCCTGCACGCCGCAGCTCCGGGCTTTGTGGAGGAGGCAGAGTGTTGCAGAGTGTGTACGGAGGGAATCAGTAGAGTTGCGATGCGGTGGGAATGATATTAAGTCCCAGAGACACAGACAGGGTTTTCTCCCTGTCTCTGGACGGCTCTGCAGCTCGGGGTGCCTTCTGGGTAGTGCTGAGGTCTCCGGGCTGTCGGGGCTGGGATCTGAGGACACAGGTGGGGCCCTGCAGAAGCAGGTTTTTGTTGTTAAAGTTTTCCCATTGGTTTTTAGAGAGGGTGGAAGGGAAGATGGGAGAGAGTGAGAGAGACATTCATGTGAGAGAGACACGCTGATTGGTTGTCTGCGGCATGCCCCCTGACCGGGCTGAGGATCAAGCCTGCAGCCCAGGCACATGCCCTCCCTGGGAATCAAATCTGAGACTCTCAGGATGCAGGCTGATGCTCCAGTCACCGAGCAGACAGATTTATCCTCACGTCTTCTGGGGCCCTTCCCTTTCCGAACTGTCTCCTTTTCCTTCTTTCCAATGATTCGGACACTGTCTCGGAGATGAGGTGGCACGTTTATTCCCAGTCGTGTTCACGGATGTGCCCTCTCCTCTGAGGCACAGGGAGGAGGCAGAGGTGGCCCAGCCCTGGGGTCCCCCTCCCCCCACCGGGTCTCAGTGAGGAAGTGCAGGAGTCCCCGCTGTGTGGTCCTGAGGTCCCACGTGGGTGGTGGGGTGCAGGGCCTGAACCCCACCTCACAGCTCATTGCCGTTACCTTAGCCAGCGCACAGAGGAGCAGGATCGGCATGATCCCAGATTTGGGAATTCGAGGCCCAGACTTTGCAGCTTTCAGTCTGTCTACCCTTCCCTCTCCTCCCCATCAGGAGGTCTGCTCTGCCAGCCAGTTCCCATCGACTCTGGTTCGGGTCCAGGGTCAACAGCCTGGGATATTATGCAAGAGCTGGCGGACTGGCTGGCTGGGAGGGACGGGGCACAGCTGTGGCTGCAGCCTGCGGCCTGCGGGGGCCAGGCCTTGGTTCCAGGCCGCCCCGGGCCCTGCGGGTCCTGTGGAAGCTACTGGACACTGTCTGTCTGGGGGACATGGCGCTCACACACCCCGTGTGTCCAAGGCCTGGCTGGCTGCAGCTGCCCAGGATGAGGCAGTCACGGCCCAGTGAGATTGGGCTCAGGAGCCAGGCCACGCAGCTGGACTTTCTCCTTTAAGGGGCCTCTCAGGGCCCGGCTCTGCTGCTCCACACCGCCCTCTCAGCTTTCACCCCGTTTTGCTGAGTCATGGTGAGCCCCGGCCTGCTCTGCCAGCTGCACAGGCACAGCCTGAGCCCTGGGTTCTGCCTGGGTCCCTCCTGGGCGGCGGAGCCTCCCTGTGGGAAGGGGACTGTGTGTGCAGACGGGAGGGAGGGTCAAGGCCTCCTGTGTGGGCGGGATGGAGGGAGGGAGGGCAGCAGAGCACAGGGTGGGGAGGGCCAGGCTGCCTTCCAGCCCTGCCCGCCCACAGCTGTGGAAGGGCTTCAGCTCTGCGTGCCTCTGATCAACGGCGATAGCAGAACCTATCCTGCAGGCAGTTGTGTGGAGGCTGTAAACTGGTTTCACAACTTCTCATGGCTGCAGGGCCCCAGCACAGGGGTAACTGTGACTAAGACAGAACACCGTTACAGGAAATGGCAGCGTTAACTTAGCAGAACCGGGAGCCCGGCGGGGTTTGGCTGCTTCGCCAGCTTCCTGAACCGGGAGTGTCTGCAGCGGGGCTGGGTGAGGCCGGGGGAAGCAGACCCTGAGCTCTGGCCTTCTCCCCTCCCCCAGGGCCTGAAGAAGATCGCCGCCTACATGAAGAGCAGCCGCTTCCTCCGCACGCCCGTGTACTCCAAGGCCGCCCAGTGGGGCAACAAGTAGTGCCTGTAAGGGCGGGGCCCGGGGCGAGGGGCACCGGGGCCTGGAGAGCAGCCGGGCTGTCTGCATTCTTTCTGCTCTTCTCCCCACCCCCCCACATCTATACACATGCCTATTGACCCTTGTCTGCTCCCAGCCGTGCGGTCCCACCTGCCTGCCTGCTCCCCAGCGCAGCCTGGCCACCCCCCCTGTCCTGTCATTCCCTCCTGGCCACGGGACTCAGCACGGACTGTGCCGATGTCTGGGGGAGGCCCTTTCCCCTTCGCGGTCCGCAGTGCTGGGTTGTAGGGATGTGCGTGTGGGGTGATGGCCGGTGGGGTTGTAAGGTCTCTTGTTCATTTCTGTCTTCATGATCCATGTGCCTCAGCCCGGGGTCGCTAAGAAGAGGGGGAACGTGGGACGGGGGCCTCCCTCATCTCTGCATTTGGGGGCGCCTCCTCTGAGCCGGCGGACGCGGTGCCACGGTTCGGGGGCCCTCGGGCAAGCTGTCCGCTGCTGGTGTGGGATCCTGGTGGCCTGCCTTCTGTCCCCTTTCCCACAACACGTCTCAATAAAGCGCACCCACTGCATTGTCACTGTCGTTTCACTTCCTCTCCAACTCGATCGCAAACCCATCGAGGAGAGAATCCATGTCTTCCTGGACTTTTCACCTCTGACATCGATCACACGCAACGAGATTTGGAAATCTGAATGATCTCTCATAAGACCCTGGCGAGCCCCCTACAGCCGTTCCTGGGACGAGAGCTGTGGATACGGTTCCTCCCGGCCTCTAGAGGCACAGAAGGAAGCACAGAGAACCTTCCATGCCTGGGCCTGGGAGAAGCAGCTGAGCTCTTCCTGACCTCAGCACTTCACAGGCTTCAGCTGCTCTTTAACTGGACCTGGGCCCGAGGTCAGGGGCCTGTGTGGTCGGGAGGGGTTATGGGTTCTGGCGTGAGGACACCTGCCCAGGGCTAGGGCTGAGGGGGTGGCTGGGGGGTCAGCACGGCCTTCAGCAGCGCCTGGTGAGGGGAGTGGGCCTTATGAAGACACAGCCTCGAGCCAACTCGTATGGGGGGAGCTCTGAAGAAGAGTCTGGTTGGGCATCCGTCCCGGTGATCTCTGCCTGCAGCTGCACTTCCTGCAGTCAGTCAACAAGCAGGGAGCCACGGGAATTACGTGCCAGGTCATGAAGAAATCAGTGATTAACTTAAAAAGATAAAAACTGGTAAGATAAAAGCTCAGCAGAGCTAACCGAAGTTTACAAAGGGGGTAAGATAAAAGTTAAACTAAAAGCTTGTTAAACTTTAACTTAAGCACGGAGCAGTACGGGTAAAAAAGAGAAAGAACTGGAAATTAGGGCTGACACCACGATAAAAGATAAGCAGAGAGGATAAACATGTTAAATCCGAGTGAAACAGAAGTAGGTCCAGAACGGGCTGGCCCGTGCTCTTGGGAGAGGCCTAGAGGGGAAATGTGCTTGCTGGCTCCTGTGGTCTCTGTCCGTCAGTCATCACTGCAGGGTGAACGCCGACACAGCTGATACAGAAGTGAATGGCCGGCCCTGGCCGGTTTGGCTCAGTGGATAGAGCGTCGGCCTGCAGACTGAAGGGTCCCAGGTTCAATTCCGGTCAAGGACATGTACCTTGGTTGTGGGCATATCCCAAGTAGGGGATGTGCAGGAGGCAGCTGATTGATGTTTCTCTCTCATAGATGTTTCTAACTCTATCCCTCTCTCTTCCTCTCTGTACACACACACACACACACACACACACACACACACACACAAAAGAAGTGAATGGCTGGGCCCGGGTTCCAACACAGATGGCCTGCTTGCCAACTTCTGATCTAGAAGTGCAGCTGAAAATGAATGCCTATGTTAATACTTGAAATGCAATGAAACAAAAGAACAAAATAGCTCAATCCTTAAAGAGAAAAGGGCCCTGGCCGGTGTGCCCGCCCCGGGCACCCTCTCACGCATTGAGGTCACAGGTGGATTCGTGGTCAGGGCACAGAGGTCAGGGCCCATGCCCAGGTTGCAGGCTCGATCCTTAGGGGTGTGCAAGAGGCAGCAAATCCAAGTTTCACTCCCTCTCTCTCTCTCTCTCTCTCTCTCCCATCCTCTCTCTAAAAAAAAAAAGATGTGGCAATGAAGGAATCAGTCACAAATGAAAACAATTTGCTAAGCATTGAGGTAAAAATGACAAATCTAGGTATTTTATTTTTAAAAAATATATATATTTATTTATTGTTACAGAGAAGAAGGGAGAGGGATAGAGTTTGAAACAGATGAGAGAGAAACATCAATCAGCTGCCTCCTGCACACGCGCTACTGTGCCCACAGCCAAGGCACTGGAATCAGACCTCAGAACCTTCAGTCCGAAGGCCGGGTTCTAGCTGCTGAGCCAAACCAGTTAGGGCAAAAGCTAAGTATTTTAAGGCGTGGAGCAGATAGCAGAAGGCATGGACTTCACACTGTTGGGGCGTCGGACGTGGCACCAGGTGTCAGACCGTGGGGTGGGGTGGGGTGGGGGTGGGGTGGGGGGCGGGAAGTGTCAGACCAGATCTGGGTGCAGCAACCTTGGTACCTGAGTTCTGGCTAGGAAGTCACTCAGCACCAAGACTCAAACTACAAGAGAATATTCGTTTATGACATCACAGAGGTGGAAGCATGCTTCATAGAGGCCATGGGCTCAGGACACAGGTTACAGAGGCATAGGAGCGGCCCTGGGGCTTCGAAGTGGGGAGTAACGGGGACAGGCCTGGAGAAGGGGAGGGGAGAGGCCTGGGGTGCACGTGGTGGGTGTGTGTGCTGGGTCCTGTCTTCAGGCTTTGGGGTGGAAACGTTAGGAGGGTCCCCAGGGGAAGATCTCACTAGAATATTCCTCAGCTTCCCAGGTGGGCCTTTTTCAGGGTCCAAGTCTCCACTGATGGGTGGTCCACGCCCCAGCCGGGGGGGGGGGGGGGGGTCATTATCCAATGCAGCTGGCCCTGAGCTCAGCCCTGGGGCCACCAGTCTGGGGCTGGTGCTGACACATAAGTGAAGCCCAGAGGTTATCTCTCGGCTAAGGTCAGGGGTCCAAACCGCATGACCAGCGATGTGCCAGGGCAGTGGTGGGCAAACTCATTAGTCCACAGAGCCAAATACCAACAGGACAATGATTGAAATTGCTTTTGAGAGCCAAAATTTTTAAACTTCTTCTAACGCCACTTCTTCAACATAGACTTGCCCAGGCCGTGGTATTTTGTGGAAGAGCCACCCTCAAGGGGCCAAAGAGCCGCATGTGGCTCGGGAGCCCCGGTTTGCCAACCACGGTGCTAGGGGAGCAAAGGTCGCCCTGGGGGCGAGGTCCCACCTACATGGTCCATTGCTAGGCATCCGGGGCTTTCCCCCTGGTGGCCTGTACCTGGTCCATCGTCCTTGCTCCGCTCGCGTCTACCCCCAAACCGAGGCAACCGAAAGGAGGTCTGATGGTGGCTGGGCCCCGCGGAGGCCTCAGGACTTGGGACAGTGCTCAGATGTCGCTCAGGGCCTATGTCCCCTTCTGGAATGGGGGGACAGGCCACACTGAGGAGGTGGCACTGGTGCCCCGCATGGGCCTGCAACCTCCTGTGTCAGGGACAAGCCCCCCTGCCTACGGTCCCACCGCTGTTATTGTGGAAGCTGATGGAGACCTCAAGGCAGCAGTTTCTAGAAAATGGAGTTTATTCTTTCATGTTCCATGGCAAGGAGTCTGAGTGTTCTAGGCGGTTGGACGGACAGGAGCAGAGCCAGGAGAAAAACTCACCGGGTACAGAACTCACCAGGGTCCAAAGCCAGGGCTGCCTAGCAGGGAGCAAAATTGGAAAAACAAGACTCACTCTCATCCCCCCCCCCCCCCCCCCCAGGTGACCTTTCCTTCCCTAGCACATCCCTTAGACATCCTGACTTTTCCTCCCTAGAGTAAGGTGACCAGATGTCCCACTTTTGGTGGGACAGTCCCGATTTTTAACAATTTATCCCATGTACCACAGTGTTTTAAAAAAGTCAATTTTTTTGAAAGATTCTTTTAAATCTTTTGGACTTTTTAAAAAATGCCGTGGGAAGTGGGATAAATTGTTAAAAATTGGGACTGTCCCGCCAAAATCGGGATGTCTGGTCACCTTACCCTAGAGCAGTGTTTTCCAAAGTGTGGTACGCATACCCCCAGGGGTACGGGGAGAGTTTGGTGGGGGTACACGTTGCACCGGAGTTTGGTGGGGATATGCACTGCACCGTGCTTAGCTGGGCCTAATTCTACGTTTTCATGAGTACGAGGGGTACTCAGTGTTACAAAAGTTATAGAAGGGGTGGGTACATATATGTCAAAAGTTTGGGAAACACTGCTAGAGGTAACATCTGGGCCTCAGTGTATTTCAGCTCCAGGCCCAGAAAAGCAGCAAAACCAAGGAAATGGCTGCCTCAGGCCCAGCTGCATTGACTAATGACCCCTGCCCTGCACCGACCAATCAGAGGCCGTGACCCCGAGAGAGCACACCTGCAAAGCTGGTGCATCTTCTATTAGACCCGCCCCCAGGCCGCCCTAAGGGTTCCACCTGCAGGAAAGAGATAAATAGGCTCAGGAGGAAGGGCCCAGTGCTCGCGCTCCCTAGTCTAAGGAGTACATCCCTGCCATTCCCCCACAGGCGTGTGTCCGCTAACCTCTAAGGCACTCCCCAGACCTGCAACCCGGGGAGCAGTGGGCGGCAGCAGCTCGTCCTGGGCAAACCCCTTGAGCCTGTCTCCAAGGCCCCCTTTTCTCTGACTTTCCAGCGAGCCAAAGCGGCCCCGCCTCGGCTCTCCTGTTGCTCCTAAGCCCTTCCGCTGTCACTGTCCTAAGTGTAAATTCTTACTTTCCTACACTTTGTCTCTAGATTGAAATCTTTTCTTCAAAAAGACAAAGCCCTACCTGGTTTGGCTCAGAGATAGTCAGCCTGCAGATTGAAGGGTCCTGGGTTTGAGTCCAGTCAAGGGCACTTGCCCGGGTTTTAGGTTTGGTTCCTAGTAGGAGGCCTGTAGGAGGCAGCCAATCAATGATTCTCTCTCATCGTTGATGTTTCTCTCCTCTCTCTCTCTCTCCTTCTCCCTTCTTCTCTGAAATCAGTAAAAATATATATTAAAACAAACCAAAAAAAGGCAAGAACCACCCCAGCCAGCTTGGCTCAGAGGCTGGAGAGTTGGGCCGAGGGCTGAAGAGTCCTGGGTGCGAGTCCTGTCAAAGGCTTGTACGTTGGTTGCAGGCTTGACCCCCGGTCCTGGTTGGGTTGTGCAGAAGGCAACCAATCGATGTGTCTCTCTCATTTCAATATTTCTCTGTCCCCCTCCTCTCTGCTCTCTCTAAAAAAAGTTAATGGGGAAAATATCCTCAGGCGAGGATAAAAAAGGGGGGGGGGGTGGAGGGTGAAGAGAGACAAGAACTAAGGTCTCATAGTCTCCCGGGCAACAAAGGCTGCTGGGCCCCTTCCCTCCTGCCGGTGGCTCCTGTGTCTCGCAGGGTGTCTCCAGTCTCCTGGGGAAGCTGTGACATGAGTCTGGGAAGAAAACTAGAGAAAACCGCACGGAGACAGGGTCCCCTTT